CCGGTGAACGGGCGCGGTGCCCTCCCGGTGGGATGGTGGCTGCGGGCAGCCAGCAGCACCTTCCCTCGGGTGTCCGGCCGTGCCAGCGAGTTGGGTGCGAGAAGGGGACGTGAGCTGTCTCAAAGACGTGCAGCCGCGGATTTCTTGGTGGGGATGAAGTGCTTAGATGCCCCAGACCCAAGCCGTAGTACATGAGGAAGAATCTGGGAAATAATAATTAAAAAGGTGCCTGTAAACTCCAGCAGAGCGGCTCGTCCTCTCAGCTGGTGGGGATGTGAAGCAGCCAGGGTACGTTACGCTGCTGGAGGCACGCAGGCCACCAGTAACTTCCAGTGACAAAAGTTCACAGTATGAAACCTCAAAGGCGCCTCTGACACCTTTCTTTGACAGGGTGTATGAGCGTGTTAGTTGGTTCCTGTCCTGCATAAAAACAGGCTTTCAAATCTGCTTGCTCTGCTTTGCTTTCTCTAAAACGGTATATGGTGATGAGGGGAAAAAAGATACTTTTCTGCATAATGATAGTTTTAGTCTGTCTGCTGAAGGGATGTGGCGTGAATCAAGGTAGCTCCAGAAACTGAAATTGAAAATCTTGAGAAGTAACTGCAGTTAGGTACAAGAAAATTATTTATGTCTGAAATCGGTTTGCAAATATTAAAATTAATAAAAAAGGATACAAATAAATTAGTAATTCAGAATACCAACCTGATTTTCTATATGTTAGATTAATAAAAATGCTTTATTATCACCAAAAGGTTTTTAATTGGTTAAATCACCCTTTCATAATCTAGACAACTGCTAATTTCTGAAAAAGGTACACACAGTGTGTGCTGATTGTTACTGCTTTTATCGTTTTATCAAAGGGTACCTTGCTTTGTTTTATTTCAGGAAATGTGCAGAACTTTTTAGAATACTTCCTCTGTAATACGAAGTGTATTATACAGAGTATAATAATCTCCAAATATAAATGAATTAAAAGGATAAAGCATCATGTTTTACGTAACTATAATCATACTCCATTTAATGACTGGCTTTAGTGCTATAATTATGTTCTTATTTACAGAAGAGTCTACAGCTGTAGAGAAGAAGAGGAAGCCTCTTACCAGACTGAATATTCATTCTGCATTCTGGATTTTGGCATCGATTGCTGTGACATACTACTTTGATTTTTTTAAAACTGTTAAAGAAACTATTCAAGCAGATAGGTAAGGTACCTTTTCTTACAAAGAAAGTCAGGTTTTCATCTTACAATCACATTCAGTTTTAAATCTTGGATAAACAAGATCTACAATAGGAATAGAGAGAGCAGGGACTGTTCAGCCTGGAAAAGAGAAGGCTCAGGGGGTCTCATCTATGTACATCAATACCTGAAGGGAGGGAGGGTGCACGGAGGACGGAGCCCGGCTTATTTCAGACCAGAGTCAATGGGCACAAACTGAAACACAGGAGGTTCCCTCTGAATGTCAGGAAATGATTTTTTACCTGTGAGGGTGACCAAGCACTGGCACAGGTTGCCCAGGCAGGTTGTGGAGTCTCCATCCTTGGAGATACTCAAAAGCCATCTGGACATGGTCCTGGGCAACAAGCCCTAGGTGACCCTGCTCGAGGAGGGGGAGGGGGGTTGGACCAGATGACCACCTAAGTTGTTATTATTAAACTAATTTTTAAGTAAATACAATGCTTGAAATTTTGCTATAATTATTTTTTTTTTCTTTAGACTCTACTGAGCCATCTGTGTACATGCAAAATTATTCTAATTTTAGCAGGATGTTTTAATACTGTACCTTCAAGTTTACACTTAAGTACAAGAAATTGCTGCCTGTTTTGTTGAAAGTATTGCAGTTTTGATTTTATTTTAATCAAAAAAAGCTGAAATTAATCTTTAAACATCAAAATGAAGTTTATTTCTCTAGAAGTTCTTTAGACTTCTTTGAGTACACCAGTGAAAGATCAGTGAAATAGTTTCTATTTCTATTCTATTTCTTTTATATTAAGTTATTTTCAGTGGGACTGATAGATGTTAAATATTTTTAGGTGGCTTCACCTGGAAGTACGTTTAAAACTCTGTCGTTGTCATTATTGTGTTAGTACATGGAAGCTGAACAGGGCCTCGCTCTGTGCTGTGAGGTGCTCTGGAGCTGCTCTTCCAGGATACACCCTACATCCAGTTGGCTATGAATATAAACTAGTGACTCCAGGATGAGATCAAGGTTTTGGGTAGCCTCATCTGCTACAGTGTCCGCCTGCATTGCAGGTGCACCAGGGGAACTGCTCTCTTAATGCAGATTTCTTAATTGGTGCTACTGAGGTACCAAAATAGCGTGTGATATTTGCTGTACCATACCAGAGCAAACGTTACCCGAGTAGTTGATTACCATTTGTAATTTAGTAATCAAACTATGGTAATAAGCATTCACTTTTAAAAAATGTTATTTGCTAAATACATACTCAGATAAGTATAAGATTTCATTAAAGCGCACCTTCCTCCCAAGTTGTCTTACCCATCTTACTCTTAAAATACTTCCTCAAAGAGGCTAAAAAGGGCATCTTCCTAAATAATCACATACCCTGCGTTTTCTTGATTCTGAGTTTGAAATCCTGGATTTCTCTATGGTTCTTCAACTGCTATAAAGAAAACTCTTCATGCTTCTTGTCTGTTAAATTTCAGAGTCCATAAACTTGAAACCTTGTTAAAGCTTTCTGCAAGTTTGCAGTGGAGCCTGTTTTACCTCATTAATGACAAAGTATTTTTGGTGTGGTAGTGTAGTAGGTCACTGACAAGGTCTGCATTGCATTTCCAAAATATTTGAGGGAAAAATAAATGGACAGGAATATTGCATTGCAAAATTAAACTCCTTTAGCTAAGTATACTAGACAGCTTTAGAAGGGCGAGAAGTGTATGAAGATTGATGTGCAAACTGCAGTGTGACTGTGCTTAACATGCTTTCCCCCCCCAGCTGGTGGTTTGCCTCTGGCAGTTGTTTATTGGCTGCGTGTTTATCTGTTGCCTTTTATTGCATCCTGTATCTTGAGTGGTATTGTGGAATTGAGGACTACGATGCACGGTATCCAGCACTGATACCTATCACAACAGCTACATTTATTGCAGCAGCAGTTTGGTAAGTTCAAACACTCTGTACAAACTTCTGCTAAACCTGTGTTAATAGGCTCATTTTATAAAAAGTATAATTTCCTTAATTCTGCTAAGTGTATTGGTGACAATACCCGTTCTATGTAGCATAATTTCTTCCACTTTCAGCATTCACCCACAAAGCAAGAGTTGTAACTATTAAAAACTCTGTGTTAAATGTACTTGTAGATGTACTGAAAATTTGTGGGAAAGCTGAAGTCCTTAGCTTTGTTAGTGTAAATTGCTCACCTCTGACAACTAGTTGTGAGGTTTACAAATTAAGACACAGGTGTATTCTCTAGCTGAGAGAAAAGGATGCCTGATCAGTTTCTAGGACAGAGTTCTTCGTTATCACACAATCTATAAATAGCAAACATAGACTGAAATTTATACTTCTGACTATTATAGGAGCTTTAAGGGTTTATATCTTGTCAGAAATGGTACTTTTAGTAAGAGCTACTTTATTCATGAGGTTATAGGAGTCATAATTGAGCAAATGTGCATGTGAATGAAAAAATTATATATGCGTGTGCCTGTATCTTTATTTGCTGTCTGCGTGAAAGCTGGTTCTCTCTTTTTAGATTCAGGTGTATCTGAATAACGTCAGTATTTGTTGCAATAATGGGGAAAAAAAAAGGAAGACTGAAGAAGATAAAAGTTCCCTATAGTTTAGAATTAGTCAAATCTATAATCTTTAACTCTGTTGTAAAATAAGTTGGGTTTCTCCCTTTCTCTTCAGTTAAGTCAAGTCTGCTTGGCTGGAAGTACAAAGTAAGACTTTTCTCAGCTGCCATCTATGCCCATGGAAAAACCAAGAGTCATTAATTTTCAGGTGCTTCATATGCAGAGATTCTGAAAGTAAAAGTATCTTTGCCCTTGATGGGACTGACTGGTCTTGCTTAGTGTAAAATCTGCAGCAGCTACTGAAGTTCTAGGATGAATTGTCAGTAAATAAACAGTAAACTACAACTACCAATTTAATAAGTAGGTGCTGGGATCTTTTCACTTTGTTTTCATAAAGAAACAAGTATTTTTCCAGGTCGAGCAATTTAAAACTTATTTCCTCTTGTGCCATGTTTTCTTTGTGTGGCTGGTATTTCCGTAATATGACAATTGAACTTACCAAAAACTTCCTGTTTTATTCCCAGTTTCAACATTGCCTTGTGGCCTGTCTGGTCGTTTATGACACCCTTGTTGCTCTTCATACAGTTTATGGGTATTGTGATGCTTGTGTCACTCCTGGGATAAATCCTTCAGGTAAATAATTTAGTTGCTTACGCACATAAAAATATTTGTTGCATGAACTGCTTTGTTAGACATTTAAGGATGGTAAGACCATTTAAGGATTCCTTCTCTATGTTTTGTGTATACTGTTAGAATATTGACATTTTGTGACACATAGAGTTACCAGAGAACATGCGAGTATCCTAAGGGGAGGAATGTCATGTTTCTCTTCTCTAAGGTTCTCTTCTAGACAGTGAAAAGCAGTGGTTAGTGAGAACAGATGGTTTTGGGGAGTACAGGCCAACTACCTGCAGCTTTTACTCTGACTGAGAAAACTTCTTAGTGAAGTTGCTTGGCCTGTTAGCAAAGGGGAGAAGCTATTAACATCCATAGGCAACTGTCTCCTCTTTTTTGTAATTTTTTAAAAATTCAAATTCCTTATCTTATCTTTGTCTTTAAGTATGCTGTTTTCCTTTTCTGTGATGAACAGTCCAGATCAACCTGCAATCTGGAAAACTGTCAGATAAGTAATTTGTTCTTCCTAAAAAACAGCCTTTCAAAAGCAAAACCGGATATCTTGTTGACTTGAAAAATTCATTCTCAGTAACTGCCACGTTGAAAAGGCATTCTTGCATCTTTTGTCAGGATATGCTATTCACATGAATCCTGTGGAACTGAAAAAGCTCAAGGAAGGCATCAAAGGCCGCTCAGCAACTAGGGTCAGGGGTGTCCCCTGTATCACAGGCAGCTACATCATCCAGTGAAGTGACTCCTTCAGCAGGTCGTGTTTGCTGTACTTCTCAGTGGGATGTGGGGAAGCCTGTTTGGTTTTCCTTGCCATCACAAATCCTTTCCAGTGAGGTCCCCCAGCATTTTTATGAGTGCAGCAAGAAGAACAGGACCGTGCTGGATTTTGAGTGTAGCCTCCTGTAGCGCTGGAGTTGCGGGCAGAAAACATTTAGTGGCTGGGACAGTGAAACACCGCTTTTGTTCGCACAAACAATCTGACAGTAGTGTTGCATTTTTCCCCCTAGTTTCTAGATTTCAAGAAATCTGATTTTTTTTAAGGAGGTAATTAACTTAGGTCGTACTCAAACAACACCTATAGACTTCTGAAATCTACCATACTTACTTCAGAACCTCTTTATTATGGGAGCTTCAGTCACCCTGGTTAAAGCAAACTTCTTCAAATCACGTTTGTCCTGTCATTAGCTATGTTCTGTCTGAGCGCTGGAAGGATCTGGAGAAAGGACGCATTTTAGAACTGGTCGTATCAACAGACTAAAACAGCCATTCTGTGTTAATTTGTACTTGGAAAGTAGGAAGTACAAGTGAATTACAGACATCCTGAGCGGCTGAACCTTATGAAAACATTCCAGTATTCTTTATGAACAGCCAAGTAAATTCTGTTACATAGAATTTATTAATTCTGTATTAGGTGAAATAATTATTGGCCTAATAATTAGGGCCAGAATATTACTCGGTGATGCAAAATCATTAACTAATCAATATCGAATTACTACAAGATACAGCTTGTGCAGTGTCTATAACCTTACAGCGTTTTTGTTAAAGTTGGATTTGTTTTCTTTTTTCTTTCAGCTTCACATCAAGGACTCAAGTAAATGTTATCCTGCAAAGTGGATGTCACTCTTGTTACATTCCAGTACTTTTTATTACTTCCAGTACTGCTTGTGTGCTCTAACTGGTACCGTAACTCGTAGACTACTTGATTTATAAATCAAATGGACAGAACCATAGGTCAGCTAGTGACTGGAAAAAAGCAACTGATTACTCAATAATTGAAAGATAGGTAGCTTTTACCTCTCTTAGTAACATAAAGCATTTAATCGCTGCCTTGTAAAGCTTTTATTCGTATTTCAATATTAAGCAAATAGGTAATAAGTCGGTTAGGTAGTCCTAAATCCTATCTGTGGACTCCAGAGGTCACCTAGTCCAACATCCTGCTCAAAGCAGGTTGTTGGTTGTTTTTTTTTTAAAGTAATTGATGCTTAATTCATGTAGTGTGGTTTTTTAATACTCCATTCTTTCCATTTGAATTGACAGCTAAAATATTGTTATCTGTATTTGTAAACTTACAGATGACACAGGAGACATTTCTTGATCTATTAAATTTCTAACGTTTTGTGTGTTATCATGTAGGAAATATTTTATTACCTGATCTCTTGACATGAGATCTGCTAGTGTTTGAAAAAAAGATACGGATCAGGGCAAGGGCCTAAAAAGCTGGTTGATGTTTATGTCATTGTTAATTTGGCAGTGCCATCAGTAAAATAAATGGAGTTCTACTTGTGCTGATACAGTGTGTCCACAGCCAAAGACGGATAATCAAGCTGGGCATAACCAGCAATATAATGAACAATATTAACACTACACAAGAAATTAAGAGCACAAAGTAAATTCCTGTGATGTATGCACTATTTTTCAGTATTCAGGATGTTTTTCATCTGTAAATTAACTTTTCATTCTTAGCAGTGCCTGTTAATGGAGTTGCCATTTTTCTTCCTCAGCAATAAAGAGGCTGATATTTACTTAAATGCTATTAGTCATACACAGTTGGGAAAATAAAATAACATTGCCTGGCTGTTCACCTTGGCTAAGCTACTTAAGTGTCTGGAAACCTGGGCACCATCTAGTTGCTAGACCATCTTATATAGATTCTGGTGTTAAATACTTTCACACCCGCACCTTTTGGAAGATAGGGGGATGTAGAAGCTGTAATAGGAGAATGTGGAAGTATTGAAACTCTGCTCCTTGTGACTGTTGCTTGAAGTTTGGACTCTTAAAAGAGACTGTGTTCGTCATTCTGACTTTCAGGTTCATGCCATTGCTGAATACACAATACATGAAATGTTTAGTGATGAAAGGATAAACATGGTCTGCCATTATTTCATTAAGGAAAAAAGTTGCTATCGGTACGCAATGTAAAGGACCAGTCAAACCAAAATAAAATACATTTAGCACTACTGTTAAGCAGCTGGTAGACCAGTTAGCAGCTTGATTTCTTTAAGTGTAACGCTTAAGTTTTCCAAACCCAGCTGTACTTCACATCTTTAAAGGGCAAGTTGCTTATCTTCAGGTCTTCATCTTTTAACAAATTTTAACAATTTTACGTCTGCACACGCAGGCACATTGGAGTAACTTGTGTTTATTATGATATTTAAAATGCAGTGTTGCTCAGGGATGGTAATTATCACTGTATTTTTGTCAACTATATAAGCGCTCTAGGTGTTTTAAGTTGCCTTGTACTCTTGAATTAAAATTACGATTTGCTACATGGTTTTTCAGATTTATTCTTCTGGACATCTTAATAAACTTTGTATAAAAGTGATCAATTATTGTTCAGTATGTAATTGTTTAACTGCCTAATTCCACTGTTCTTGGGGACTGCCAGCCCGTCATTTTGCCTATAAAATAGATGTTCATGTAGATTTTAAATACCGTGTTTGACTTGGAGTGCATTTGTCTTTCATGACCTCTCAGCTGGGTTTATTGAAGATATAATACCACTCGGTTCTTCTTTGGAGAGCTGTTTGCCGTCTGACTACTTTGATGTCTTTTTCTGAAAATCCCAGGGAGGTGTGGTCATTGTACAAAAGTCCCACAAAGTCTTTCAGTAAGAGTTATGAGTGTCCCATGCAATACTCATTCACGTACATGCTCAAAGGGAAGTAGTGGTAAATCTGGTAAGAATTTAAACCAGTGTTTGCTGTAATTAGCAACCTGACAAAATGCTGCTACTTCTAGTTCTGTGAACTCCTGGTTTTGTTATTTTCCTTATCACCAAATAAAGGACTAGGGGCAAGAGAGTAGAAAGAGTTATCTTAGCATTTTCCTGAAAATAATTGTTAGGCAGTCAAAATCGCCACTTCTACCAAAGCTTGAATGTATTAGCTGGCTACAGACCACCAGAGGTGTTTTCTGTATCTGTTTACATTAATTTCATTTGAGGACAAGCACTGAAGAGCTGTTCTTTACAGCTGATGGGGGATGTTCTCGAATAATCTTGAAATAAAATAGTCCACAGTGAAGATTATTTATCACAGTTACCTGTAGAAGCTCTGTAGAATGAAATCATCTTCCTTAGTTATTCTTTAAAGGTTACATTACGTAAGATAAAAGTAGGACTTGGCATTTCCATAAGCTTCCAATAAGGATGGATGTAGCTCTGATCTAGAGGTGGCTGAAGCCTTAACTGTTTGACTAGTTATGCTTTTTAGTTTTACTGCTGTTATGGGCCAGATAGGAACATGGGGCTAGCTTTCAGTTCAGTGCATTTTTCAAAAGGAAAATTTGTAGATGGCTTAAAATACCGGTTTGTAGCAAACAAGCCAAAATGAATAAAGGACATGAACTACTACTTCCTTATGCTTACCTAAGTAGGTAACTGTTCAGAATTTGCTCATTCCACCCTTCTGCCGTTTTGTTTTCCTTCCCTGTTCTTTAAGAGAACCTCAGAAATTTACATAAAAGTTCACAGATGTCCTTTGTTATTTAAGAAAAAAAAACCCTCTTTAATAATTTCTGGCTTCAGAACAGTAAAAGCCTAAAACCTCTCTTAAGTTTTGCCACTGGAAGTGGAGTAAAATACATGCTGTCTTTTCATTTATTCCATTTTTTGGATGTAGCTGAATTAGTGGCTTAATTTCATGTAAGACATAGGTCACTTGCTCTAAAAACCAATGCTTTGGGTATTTGATATGCTACCAACAGATACAGGGTAAAAATGTAAGACCTGCCTGGCCAGAACAAGGACCAGTCTATCTTGGTATTTGGCCTCCAAGCTATGGCTAGGTACCCGAATACCTAGAATTAAGAGGATTTGTATTGCACGCAAACAAAATACCATTTGAAATATTCAGTGTTTTACACTGGACTAAATTCCTCTCAACCCCTACAGGCAACCAACTGGTGCTCCAAATCTTGAGGTTCTCATTCCTTGATGTCTTACGACTGTGACACAGGTCACGGTTACAAGTAAGAAGTTTGAATAAAAAAAAAAAAAA